ACAGGACGCGTTTTGGTGAGCTAGCTCCCAAAGGCAAAACCGTGAGGGAATGATCTGGTGTATACCCAAAGCGGACAATATTCTGTAGCGGGTGAGCTGGGATGTTACATAACCACATAAAAATAAACACAAAAACATAACAAACAACTAGTTCCAGCGAGAACCCTTCCATTCGCTGCTCTGTTCCCGTGCTTGTTCGCTGCTCTGTTCTCAAGCTTGATCGTTGCAGTCTCGGTGATCCTGTTATCCCATCGGCAAACCCGCGTTCCTTTCGCTGCTTGGGTATCGTTCATCCCAACAAGAATCTGCGACCCGCAGCCGTGCTCCACCGGCGACTTGCAGGCCTTTCCTTGCACGATTCTGCTCACTGATGTGCCCACCAACATCGCCATCATCTCCCCGTTCACGTGTGCCAGCACCTCTGTAGAATCGCACGACCACTGGACGAGCCAAACGTGAGTTTCCGAGCCCCTCAACGCGCGTACCTTCAGCCCCATTCGGTCGTCCCGTTGCTCGTCTATCGTACATTTTCCCAAGAATGGTACCTAGGCTCGAACCCCATCTCGTTTAATTTCGTGATTTGTGTTATTGTGATATGTTACATAAAATCGTATGCCTTATTGAGATAGAAGTGAGTATTGTGAGCCTTATGTGAACTTAATTATGTATCGATCTCTTCGATTCGTGCGAACTCGAACGAGATCACGTTATTATCGTGTTTAGTTACTGTGGGATTGGAACATAGTGAGTCCTAGGCCTTATGGAGAAGACCTCGGATAATTTCGAGTCTTGTCAAGTCATACCTGAATTTATGAACTCGTTTAGTCGCTGATTTGGTATTAAATTCATAATAAATTGTATGCTTCTCCTATTGCCATGAAATTTTATATGTGATGTCTTGTGTTGATATTACATGTCGTGTGAAACTTTCAAAATTTAATTCCATCTGTAGCTATTTTAATAATTATTGTGATTTCTGGGCAAAATCGTATAAATTGCATAATAAATAGAGTTATGCTCCAAATTAGCTGAATTTTAAATATGCTATTCGTTTGTGATATTTTTATGTTGTTTATAGATTTCATAATTTTTGGACTTAGTTTGCTATTGTAAATAATTATTTGTAATTTTCTGCTGAACCTCGTTTTAATTATGATAAATCGACCAGTTGCGGTAAATTGCTGAAAATTGGTGAGCATGCTCATTTTATGTTGTAGTACTTAGCATAAAATTTTCAGAATTTAATTTGTTCTTTATGATAGGTTTATAATTAAAATGAATTTTCTGCTGAATATTGTCAGAATTTTCATAATTCGTGTGTTTATTGTTTAAAGCTGAAATTTTTATATGTTGGTCCTTACCTGCTGTAAAAATTTCAAGCCTGAATTCATTCATTAGGTCAGGCTATGAATTTATGCTCGTTTTTGCTGAAAACTTGAGTGAATTTTATAAAATTGGATATTTTGAGTTAAGGGCTGAAACTTGATGATATTGCCATGTTCATATAGGAGAATTTTGTGTTAAAATTT